TCTTAATTTTCTCACTTGTCCTAGCATTGTGTGCCTCAGACGTGCACTGCCTGTGTCAGCTCCCCAGCACACAAACTTGATGCACACTAAGGGTCCGTGTGGACCGTGCTGCCTACGCTAAAAGTTCTGTAGTGAAATTTGATCAACCCTGCTTCAAAACAGGAGTGAACTAAAGCCCACTAAGGAACTTTTAGTGCATAGCGACAGGCTAGCGCAAGGTAGATTTACACCCCAGCGTGCTGTGAACTAATTGTTCATTCACACAGGCCCTAAGGCTCCCATGACTTTAAATGAATAGTTGAAGGAGACACACTCATACGCAAGCTGTGAGAGGAAAAAGGAGAATTAGTTGAGGTGCTCCAAAGTGATCTCTTCTATATTAGAAAAAAGAAGGGAAAAAAAGGTTAATTTGGTTTAATATTGCCTTATTCGAGAAAGATGTAAAAGCTGCCTAGTATTGGAGAGTGTGGACACCGAAGAGGGAGGGGAATTTTTTGGAAGTGTGTACATGTGTTCATATGAAATTGAGCAAAATGTATTTAGAATTACACTGTGGAATTATCTCCCAGGGGAGTGGCGGGAGTCCCAACATTTGAATAATTTAAAACCAGATTGAGCAGAGTACAAGAGTATAACATGTAGCACACCCTGCAATGGCTGGGTAAAGGATATGGTCTGAGAGAGATTTTCCTCTGCTTATTTCTGGAATGGTGAACAAATCTACAAAAGCAAAGCTATACAAAGGGTTTTGCACTTGGCTTGCTCTAGTGACTACAAACAGAGACTCATGTTTTGCCAACAGCAAATGCTTACTCAACATGCTTTTGGCACTAATGTGAAAAACCATGGTAGAAAAGAGAAGACAGTGAGTGCCAGACTCTCATCTCATTTACACTGCTGTAAATCAGGAGCAACTTCACTGAAGTCAATGAGGGCAGATTCCTTGGACCAGTCAAGCAGCTTATGGCACAAGAACTACCACCTTCTACTCTCCTGACCCTGGAATTCACTGGGGACTGAACTGGTCCTGGTGTAACTTAGAGCAGCCCAAGGACTGCTCCACCAGCTTGAGATTATTGGAATATACTCCACTCTGGCCATTTACACTGCTACAATCCACAAAAAGACCTGGCGCGGGGGCATGCATAGGGAATGGAGTGAGTCACATACAGCCAGATTTACATCAGGGGACTCTCTTGCTGCCCTGATCCCTTTTGTGTCACTGCAGTTAAATTTGTGTAAAACCGTTAAGAAAGGAGAATCAGGCTCTCAGGCTTCGACACGAGATGAGTTTACAGTGAGACAACAAGGGTCACAGGTGCAGGTATGAAACACCACCCATATTACCCTTGCTTCCATATGGAATCTGGTGTTGGTGTACCAGGACACATACTGTGTGTTGCTTAATAAAAACTTAGACAGAAACCTCAGCAGTGGTAATATAGTTGTGAAGCATTTCAAATTGTTTTGCCTGGGCCACCCTGATAATAAAAAAAGGAAATTAAGTTTGAGATAGTAACTTCAGTTAACAGGCAGTAATTTAAAAAATAAAGCTGAATGCAATTATGGTAAGAAAAACAACCTCTTGGTGTTTCACATCTATCTCTCCATCCAAAACTTATGTCAAATAGCTCAGTTCTGATGTCAAAATCATTTTTTTAACTACTAGTGTCACAAGTGCAACTCAGTTTTTGAAAACTGTGCTGAGCTTTTTCAGTTTCATAAATCATCACCAATAAAAAAATTAAAGTTTTTGGGATCAGAATTTTGTCTGTAATTTTGATGATGATGCCTGAAGCAGACTAAACTACAGGAATACAACTTGCTCTTTTGCAACTACATCCTACTGACCAATGGTCTTAGTGGTAGGAACCTGTTTTTGTAGGTATTAGTTGGAAGGCATCAGGTATGGACAGCATGAACCATACTGTAACAGATACATCAATTCCCTGCAATATCTTTGGGAGATCTTATTGAATTAAGTTTAAATAGCTTTGAAGTCCATTGTAATATAAATATAAAGTTTATGTATTAGTATGGATATGTAACTTCTCTAGTGGGGAGACATGGCCTGCGTAAACCCTGGGAACCGCAATGAGCTTTAAAGGACTATTTTAAACAACGTGCCAGAAAAGAAGGAGCTTTGGGGATGAACATTAAGTGGGTTTCCTAAGAAATACTTGGGGAGAGGGGAATGCAAATTCCCACCCCCAGACCCAACCTTTTGAAGCTATACTCTGAGGAGAGAACCTATTTTCTGCTGATTACCTGTTTCTGGAATCCAAAGATCAAAGGCCCCAGCTGTATAAAGAAGAGACTCTGAGACTCTTGGGCATGCTTGTTCTGCACTAATAGCTGTTGTGAACTTGTAACTGCAAAAAAACCTTTTGTGGGGTTTGAAGGACAGATCACCTGCCAGAGCCCTTGTTGGATTTGAGGGGTGATCTCCAGTAATCTCATTAGCATGGGTGTATGTTCTTTTGTTGTTTCAATGTTTTAGCTGTAGTGCTTTTACCTTAAGAATAAAGATGCTTGCTTAGAAGGAGCTACATGGTAACTTATAACGGTGTGAAATTACACATTTATAGCCTCTGAGGAGAAATCAAAGTGCAGATGCTGGCTGTTTTCACCATCTGGCTTGCTGGGGAACTCTCAGGGTGGGCAGGAAACTGTGCAGTCTCGAAGATGTCTGATCAGGAAGAGAGAGATGCAGGTCTTGGCCCGAGAGAGATGTAAGTCAGCGATACTTCAGAAATAGAAATGCCCCTTTTTAAATTTGATAACTTTAAGTCTCAGCACTGAAAAGAACTATGAAAGATATTCAGATTTAGGGTGAGGTTTAATTTTATAGGACAGTAAGCATTAAACTGTTTAATTTTCATGAGCACTGAATTATGGCTTCAGTGAAAGTTATTCTGTTATTAAGACACTTCATTGCACGAATGAAAATATCTGGGCAGATCAACTGAGAAAATGCTGCAAAATATCATGTTTCAGCAAGGGACAAGGGAATATGAAGGAGAAGAAAAGAACAGTTTTAGATGTTTAGAAAACACCTGACAAGGAATAAAAAGGGAAACAAGTCAACTGAGCTGATAAATTAACCTGACCTAGCAAAAAGGTGCTTGTGTAAAAGAAGAAAAATAAATGGCTGAACAAATGTAGCATATAAAGAAGTTTCAGAACCTCAATCAATAGCCACACCATCCTCTCCTGCTTCATAACACGCCAGGTGCTGAATCAAAAATGCCCTTACAGCTGCTCCACTTTGGGCAGCATTCTTGAGGACACAGTAGCAATTTTCCCTAAGTTACCTATCCAACAATATCATTTCTCATATTCTTCCAACTATACAAGTTTGGTGGCTGGAAAAAAATAATTAGCATGAGTGGTAGAGCAAGTACTCACAAGACAATCTTTGCATTAAAATGTGGTCCAGACTATGAAAATGTTTAAGAACCCCTGGTTTAATGTATTTTACACCCCTCCCCTTTGAAAAACAAGCAGTTTTTAGTAGTTAAAGTATCTCTTATGCAAAACTTTGCGAAGTAGGATATTATAGGAGGTTGGAAGGTAACAGGTGACTGTTCCTGTGGAAAACTAAAGCAGAGACTGAGAAAATAGGATTGAAAAAACATTGTTCTCTTTGTTATTACTTCTGATCAGACACACATGTTACATTAGAATAGCAATTTTGTCTAATTTCCCTCCCGAAAAATGACTTGCCATCTGTGGGCCAAACTGTGCTCCTGCTGTAGTGGCTGAGTGCATTTTGCTTGAACAAGGCAGGTGCAGGCAAAATACCTGAGGGAGCACTGAGGGGATATGCTCTTTATTATGTAGTACTCTTTCTGAAGGTGCAGAATGTGCTCCCCCAGGTACCAAATGCTAGCAGGGAAGCAAGGCCTGCCCCCAGCCCAGTGAAATACAGTAGGGGAAATCCTGCCTGCCTTATCTCCCTTTCCTACTCATGCAAGACAAGCCAGGACTGAATGCTATGTCTCACTAGCTTTTAATTTATGTGCTTGTATTGCTATTTGTCAGAAAAATGGAATTTAAACATCTTATTTTAAAAAGCCCAAACTGAGCTTGGTATACACGCACAATAGACCCCACTTGATGGGATTCAAGGATCCTTCTGCTTGATCAGGTACAATTTCTTAAGACTCAACAGAATCCTTTACTGAGTATGGATTCTCCGGCACCCAGTGAGAGATTTCTTACAAAACCGTATTGGTGAGCAGCAGGCTGGCAATGAATAAATGCTGCTCAGGAGGTTAGACATGCACAGCTGTAGAGATCATGAAATGTAGCTTGTGTACTCCCACCATAAATCTCAGAAACCCTGCAACAACCACATATATTTATTTTACCAGAAATGCATGTTTTGTTGGCTTCTCCACTTACAAATTTTTATATATATATATATATATATATATATATATATATATATATATATATATATATATATATATTTGGAAACAAAAGCACAACAAGGCATTTCCTGTTGCCCTGAATGCTAATGATGGGAGACTGTTGCTATGGTGATGCTAATTTTAACGCTGTTGCCTGTGGACTTCATATGAACTGCCCATTTTAACTTCTGCAAATGTCATTTATGAAATGAAAACCCATTAATGACTGGCGAGGGCACAATGTTCCACTTTAATTAGAATAATAAGGAATGCTGATGCACAAAGTACAGGTTTGTGAATTGCTTCAGAGCCCACACTGTCAAAATTAATTACCACTGATGAGGATTTTGTTCTAATATTTTTTGGAAGGAAGCTTTAGAATAGCACAGTGGTAGCTTGGCTTGGAAATGAAAGAATTCCCTCCTTTTTAATATCAAGGTAGAACAGAATGATTTCCAGCACAGATAATATAAGAATGCTGTGAAACACATGACAGAAGGTTAAAGTTATGAGTGAGCCACTGCTAACACAGAACTTTGGTACATTTACCATTCAGCAATGGTAAAATGTAAGTTCAGATGTTGCCAAGAAAAATAAAATCCCTTTAAACGAGGAACTCCTCTGAAAAGCAGATATTTAGAGTTTGACAAATAGTACTTGTGTTCTTTGTAGCACTCTGCTGGCAAACTGCTGGGAACTAATGAATGGATGGCTGCTGGGATGCAGTTCTGATTTTGGTTGGTGGGAATGTTACTTGACTTGTTAATTATCTACAAGGACCAGGGCTGAGTAGATGAAGTGCAAAACAGCAGCAGTATGATAAGGTGAAAAAAATATTTTCCTGCATCATGCTATGACAAAGGCTGAGCACCCATGGTGAGTAAAAAATCTTCACCTACCCGTTTACTTTTGAGGGAATTTCTAATAAGACACACGATGTACTACGTAGATATAGTATTTCAGTATTGCATGTAATAAAGAAAAATAGTTTACTGAAATGGAAGGCGTCATTGGCAGCTACTGGAAGTATACTGTATCACAGTAATTATTATTCAATTATTTCAGCTGTTATAGTGCCTAGAGAGCCTGCTGTCACGGAGTCCCCGGGCAATGATCTGGAACTGCTCCCTACGAAGCCAGTCAGGACTCTGGTGAAGTCTCCTCTCTGTGAACAGACTGTCTCCAGGGCAAACGGCTCACACGGCTTCCACCTTCCTGGGTCTGAGTATTTTTTTAATAGATTGCAAGATTTTTTTCCTTCCTATAATTCCTTCTCTCCTGTCTCATGCAAAATCCAGGCCTTACAGACCTAAGATAGAAGAATTCACTAAAAAGAAGCACTTTCTTTGGGTCCCATTCATGCTAATCTCTGAAGACCTTGTTTGCCCTGAGGGGATGGGGGCACTTGCCCACTAGTCCATCAGGGACTAGTTAAAGATTTTCAAAATAGCAAGGAAGGGAGGTGCTCAAGACAAGTCATGAGCCAACCCCACACTGTCCTCTGAGAAGGGGCAGATTCATCGGTAGACTCTGACTGCTTTGCTCTGCTTTCTAAGATGGATGTTTACAGCTGCTTTGTGGTGCCAGAGCACTGGGCGAATATTGGTAGATCTGGCCCAAGATTCTTTCTTTGGTAATTTCATTTACCACATGCCTTTCTTGAGGCTGGGCAGTGGGAATGGAAAGTAGGTCACTTGTGTGTGTAAGTATGTAGAAAACATGTAGGATTTTTTGTTTGGTCAGCCATGCACATTTTCCGTGTGTATGTTAGATCTGCTTTATTGTAGCATTGAAGAGTGTGCAGCAGGGTTCATAAGGTTGTATTGCTCCAGCACAAGTTAAAGTGTGTGCACGTTAGGCTAAATGGTCATTGTGGTCCTCAAGTTCCCAGTGCTGCTAATTGTTAGCTCAAAGGATAAAAAAAAAAGATGGCTTTGGCTGAGAACGGGTGAGTCTGCAAAGACCAATCGTGACAGTGATTCTTTTTATGTTAATGATGTATTTACATACAAGTCCCCTCCCTCTTATGCCTTAGCGCTACCATATCTATCCATCATTGGAGATTTTTAAGAGCAGGTTTGACAAACACCTTTCTGGATGGTTTAGATAATACTTAGTCCTGCCATGAGTGCAGAGGACTGGCCTAGATGATCTCTCAAGGTCCCTTCCAGTCCTATGATTCTACTACTAGGCAGGAGTAACTTGATGGTCACTGAGCAGTGCACTCATTAATGCAAAATTGGTGGCTCTGTGAGCTTTCCCCCTCTCCCCCCCCCCCACACATCTCAATGAAGCTTTAACAATGAAACCTAATGTTAACAATTTAAATGTCAACATTCACTATTTCACTGACGATCCTTTTTGTAAAAAAGCAAGCTAATGTGCTTATCCATCATTGTTGCATGTAGTGACAACTGTTGGGGTAGGGAGCAACGAGGCAGCTCGTTGCTGTCAATCCCTGCGGGAGTTGGGAACGAAGAATTCAGATTCCTCCACATCCTACCACATATAAAGCCATCTCAAAAGATGGAGAAATAGAGGAGATGTATTCTCCCCCTCCCTGTAACAAAAAAGTCAGCTGCTTTCTGGGTACTGAAAACAAACCAATTACCTGTTCTATCCTGAACAGTAAAAGCCCAACTATCCCCTGCCTGCTTGTCAAAACTTTCAGCTTCCCCTGTATTAATTTCTGCAATAGTTATATATTTCCCACACAAAATTCTGCAGTGCGATGAAATCTATAAATCTAGAGACAGCTAAATATAAACTTAATTAAATATTGTGATCAATATGGAGCTGCCCTGTAATAATTTATTGATACCGGTTATTGGGCTGGTGTTTGATAACTGGATATTGGCCTGGTTATTGGGATGGTGTATAATGAATGAATATTGTTGGTCTGTCAGGCAGTTAGGAGAAGCATGGCTCCAGATAAGCACTTTTCAACAAACATTTAAGAGCTTTTAAGGGAAAATGCTAGAACTGTTAGCTTTGATGATTCTGGCTCTGGTCTCCTGCCAGCCTATGAAACTGACTTGATTAGTGATTGCCAAGGCCCATGAGCACAAAGACTATACCAGAGTTTAAAGGGGAATACTCTTTTATGGGGGAACCAGACTGAAATCTAGGACTCCAAGTAAGACAGACACGTCTAGACTGTTATTTTAAAATCCTTTTTTTCTATTGCTTGTTTCCTACTGCTAAATAAACAATACATTTGGTTTGAAGAAGGCTGTCTTATTACTGTGTACCTCTAGTCACAGATGCCTGAAGGGAAGAACTGAGGGTGACTGAATTCAGTTGAACTTGCAGGGCAAGAATGGTGGATACAAAGGGTGCTGTAACCCAGGGCCCAGTCGCAGAGTGGGAGAATTGTGCGATTCCATCCTGGGATAGTTAATGGCACGAGGCCTTATTTCTCCAGGGATTGACTGTACTGAAAGTAATAGAAAGATCTAGAAGAATGAGAACAGAGGAGAGACTCTTAGACTGCCAGAAATTGTTAGTGACCTGAGTAAGGACTGTTTAAATAGAGTGGAGGGGACAGAAGCCAGAAAACATTTAGTAGAGATACAAATAGATGATGAATTCCAGAAACTTGTAGACAAAAAGGAGCAGGGCAAAAGGCTCAGTAGTTTGATAGACAAGTGCAATTAGGTGTGGTTTTTTTGTTTGTTTTTGTTTTTTTCAAGCGTAGGTTTGAGGGCTGAAGAAAAGGAGTCTGATGAGTGAAGGATAAGCTCCTACAAAAGAATGATGTCCTGAGAGGCCTTTCACATAATTGCATATCTTTACAGAAAAATGAGCAAAATTAGCAAGTGTACTTGGTTCTCTCTTTTTTCATGAGACTTGGTGTTACATGTACCACTTTTCAACATTCTTGTTTTGAAGCATCTTGTCTACAAATGCTCAAGGAAACTGTTACAATCCCAAATGAAACCTGTTTCAAAAAAATGAGCTCTAGCTGCAAACAAACAATGCTTTAAAACTTTTTTTGACTATGTCAAATCTTTCGTCTGTGAGTTGTTACTAATGCTTATTAGCACAAAGACATCAATACATGGGGTGAAGCTTTTTTGGGGTCACGGATACAGAAGGATAGATTGTGAATTCTTTGTTTTTGTTAATTTCTACTTTATTTTGACTCCTCCAAAACCGAATTTCATCCCACTGGGGAAGATGATGCAAGGTTAGCTTGAGGAGTGCTGCAAGAGCAGGTGTCCTTTTGACTTAAACAATTCAAAGCTGTCTAAGCTACTTCTGTTCCATGATTCATATCTGCAAGAACTGTATATGCTTGTCACATATAAAGAGCAAAAATTTCTTTTGTGAGTCACACAAGAAAACTATGAAAATGTTTCTTCATCTTATATGCAGTATTTTTAAATTACTATAGCTAGTTCTTTGTACCTGTAGACACTTTCATTGTGAGTTAAAGATAAAATAATAAAAGAGCTAAAGGCTTGAGTTGATGAATCTTTTTGAAGTCCAGCTATGGTTTTTGGACTTACCTACTAAATTAGGAATTCCAGAATGTGGAATAAATTTTAACTAGAATTATATAATGGAAAAGAAAACTGAACTTTATTATTAAGTGTGTGGATAAATAAGCTTTCAATATTCAGTGACTAATGTCTTACATTCAGGATTCAGAGAAATAAATTAAAATCAGTGCTATGGCTAAATGGTAACTTACATAAGTATAGGAAAGGTGCCACAAGTACTCCTTTTCTTATAGGAAAAGGATTCATATTAACACTTTTAGGTATTCTCACGTGCCAGGATTAAATTTGTTCAGTGTAACTGGAAACTACAGTGTACGATGATGCTCATAAAATGGAAGTAGATAATTCTTTCAAACACAGAACTAAATGTAATTAATCAGCATTTCATGTTATATAGCAGAGGTGGGCAAACTACGGCCCGGCTCCAGAGCTCCTGGCCGGGGAGGCTCGCCCCCCTCCCCCGCAGCCTCACCTCGCCGCTGGCGCAATGCTCTGGGTGGCGGGGCTGTGAGCTCCTGGGGCGGCGCGGCTGCAGAGCCCGGCCTGACCCGGTGCGCTGTGCTGCGAGCGGGCGGCGGCGGCACGGCTGCAGCGCCGCCAGCCACCAGTGCTCCAGGCAGCGCGGTGAGAGGGCAGGGAGCGGGGTGGTGGCCAGAGGGCGGGGGTGTGAACAGGGGGTTGAATGGGGGCAGGGGTCCTGGGGGGACAGTCAGGATGGGGCGGCAGGGGGCAGTCAGGGGACAGGGAGAAGGGGTGGTTGGATGGGGGCAGGGGTTCCGGGCGGGGGGCAGTCAGGAAGGAGGCGGGGGTTGGATGGGGTGGCAGGGGGCAGTCAGAGGACAGGGAGAAGGGGTGGTTGGATGGGGCAGGAGTCGGGGGAGGAGGGCGGATAGGAGGTGGGGGCCGGGCCACGACCCCCTCCCCTAACCAGCTCTCCATACAATTTCTGAAACTCAATGTGGCCCTCAGGCCAAAAAGTTTGCCCGCCCAGTGATATAGTGACCAAAATGTAAGGAAACCTGCTATAAATGTAGGCATGCCTGCTTAAGGACTGAGAAAAGTTTAGATTTTTAATCAGATCTGCCCCATCAGTACCCAATTTATTATTCTTTACTTATGGATTCCAAACATGGTCTAAAACAAAGTCTTGCTCATATAATTTTTGCTTCAAACATTTATCAGACTGCCCCTTGACTGTTTGCACAAAGACATCCCCAAGAGTAATCATATGTGTATAAGCATCTATTATTTTAAATTTAAGATTGCTATCAGATTTGCATTTTAAACCTTCACAACTGAAGTTGTAGTTGAGGGAGCATTATCCTATGAGTTTGTTTCATATTGTCATTATTGCTATGGTTATATCTGAAAATAAATCTCACACAAATTTCCTCAGGGACATTTACACTCTCTATGGCTGTAATCTGTTTACTATTGCTGCTGCTATTATTATCTAGTTCTAGAAGTAGTTATAATTGTTTTAGCTTTTTCCTTTTCTATGTTTTATCAGATATATGTAGGCTAGGCCAGCCAACAAATTCTGAACTGATGACATCCTCAAGCTAAATTAAATTAAGCAGAGTTAAACTGAAGAGAAAACCTTGGGTAAAGTCATTGGGGCTGATGGACCATATCCAGAATCTGATTTTCTGAGCTAAGGGCAGTTTCCATGTGTTTATGTGTGTAGGGGAATCCATTTTCTCTTTCCCACATCCCCTAAAAACTCAAAAATTTACAAAGCTGATTATGGAGCCACTAGGGTGGCAGATATCAGACTGCAAAATATTGCTAGACTAAAATCCATGCTCATCTAAAGCAAAACTGACATATTTTTCCTCTGTAGCATTTTTTCATTTAGAATATTGTATCGGCCTTTTTATCGACCCTCCTGATATTTATTAATTCCAACTGTTTAGGCCACCACAGCTAAAATATGAATATGACAAAATGGTCAAATCATATAATCCAGCGCTCTGTGGCTTCCAAAATATTTTTTTTGATATGCCCTACAAAACATGGTGCCTCCTTTTCGTAAAAAAAAGTTACATCTGTGTCCCACCTAGATGTACTTTACTGTGTGATTAGTCTGAAATTTTCTCTGAAACATGACATCCTGATGTGCAACATTCATTCTACATCCATGACTTTTGTATGAAGTGCTGTTCACAAATCAAAACTCAAGTGTTTTCTAGCTGCTGCTAGTCCTGAAAGTTTAAAGCAATATCCAAAAATCCATTTGTTGGGTTTTATATTATTATTAATATTCCTACAGTATCTTCAAGAATTAAATTTCTCATCACTATCTTCAATAGCAAAGTTTCTGGACTGAGAATATAGTTGACAATTTTGTTGAGGATTCATGAAGCAGAATAGAATACATCTTTGCTCTGATACTGCTATATTAACTCTGCAGTGGTGACTGGGGAAAAAATGGTGTTGAAAATAGAAGATAGTAAATGAATGTGACCACTGATATGCAAAAGGATCAGATACCGGTGAGTAAAAAGACAACTTTTTTTAAACAGTCACTTTTTCTACCAGAACTCTAAGGTAATGTAATTGTAAACCAGCTTGCTACGCCTTTAATAGAGGCCTAACAGAACATAAAAAAATGAGATTAAATTATTATTTTTTTGATTCAGTTGAATTTTCCTTATTTGTCCCAAGGTATTTATTTATGTACTTTGATTTTTACAGTATTTGCCCATTATTTAATTGAACATCAAATGTGAAATTTAGAAAACAATTTACATTCCAATTTAATTAATTTATTGATCCATAAACTGATTATTTAATGCACTGATCCATACATCATTCATACACAACCTACTCCAGCAACCTCACAACAAAATTAGTGGGACCTGAATCCTTCTCTAGTAACCTAGTCCTGCACCCAAATCGCAGCAAAAGGATTGCCTTTGCAGCACACATAAAAGGTTAACAAATCTGGGCTCTGCTGGACCAGAGGGGGAGAGAATTCGACATGCAAAGTAGGAGGTCATTAGATAGCAAGGTTTCAGATGTCTTAATTTGCTCAGTGAACTGTCCACGTCATCTGGTGATTGAGAAATGTTTGGGGGGAGGGGGAGGTGCATGAAGAGTGCTACTTCCTTATGATCCTTTGCTGAGCTGTACTGTGTCTCATTTTCCAAGCACAGGAATTTCCATGAAAAATTACAAATAATCACAATGCTTACTTCATCAAAACTACGCTGAGGAAATAATTCACTCAGGAATATTACAGTGGAAGTATTCCTCATGGTTAGTTTTAAAAAAATATTTAATCTTGGGTTTCTGATATACATTTTCTATGATGAATACTTGAAATTCAAAGTAAATGTATAGCATGTAGAAAGTTGCTAATGCTGAACATTATATTTTCTTCTAAAATTCAACTATTTTTTCAGAAAATGAGCAGTAAGCACAGTGACTGTAGGTAACCTGACTGTCTCCGTCCCAATGCTTAAAATCATTATAGAAAAAATGCAGTCACATTGACATTTATAAAATTCTCAAATTATTCAACACATCTTTTCTTTTTCATTTTAGACTCTATAGTATGCCTAACCATAATACATATATACAGAGACAAACTATTGGTTGAAGGGTCTCAAGATGAAGAGGTCACAGAAGTGACATACTGTACTATCAATGATCAACATGAAGAGGAATCAAAGATAGATAGTTACCTGATGAACAATCAAAGTGCTACCACTGAAAGCAATCTACTAGAGAGGAAAAGGGATTAAATAATCTTTCTTGCTGACTCAGTAGTGAAGACCAAGTCCCAAGGCCACCTGTTCCCCAAATAAAGAAAACTGGGTGTTATCCTTCTAGGACAAGAGATGTGACAAGAAAGGCAGAGAATACGCTGAAAATGTTGGGGAATTTGAACTTATTGTTATCCACATGAGAACCAAAACACAAGAGAAAAGAGATCTGATAGACTCAAGGATAGCTTTAAGGAAATGGGAAAAGAACAAACACAGGAGTCACTCGGTGGTAGATACAAAGAGTAGTAGCTATAATGATCATGAAAGAAAATCAAATCAGAAAAACTGGTCTCTGCCAGAAAGAATCTCTATCTGCAGAATCAGAACCTTTCCAGCTATCGTATCAGAATATTCTTGTATTGCATATAAAATTCTATTCCTATACCTTCTGTGAGTGTTATATTTATTTCTTCATTGCAATAGATACTAGAATATTAAAGACAAGCAAACTCTGTACTGAATGGCACAAATGATGATACAAATACAACTTTAAAATTCATGAGGGAACAATTACGCTTGTGAAAAAGACCATCTTGAATGAAAGCTCTTAACATAACTGGGTTTGAATATTGGGTCGTATATATGGGCCATTACCTTTTTACGGAACTCTGTAGTTTTATCCATATTAACATCGGTAGGACTTTTTCCATAAGGGACACACCATTATTGGCGGTGCAAAAATACAAAACTTTCTTAGACTAGATTGATATGATCGTTAAGGAGATAATGAGATGGTAGGTATGCTGAGCCCAAAAGTAATTTTGGCCCTATTATTAGGATGTAGAACACATGAAATTTTCACCAAACAGAATAGGGGATTAATGACTGTTAGTTCATTGAACTAGTGGCATAGCAGACAGAAGACTGAACCAAAGACTAGACCGTGGCTTTGCCAAATGAAAAAATATTGCTGTCATGGAGAAACTGCCAATCTTCTGGTGAAAGATGAGGATTATGTCTGGTCTACATGAGAGGAATATGTAAAACCACACTCCTTCCCCACTCCTGGAGGGTCTCACTGAATAATTTTCAGAAACGGTCTTCTGTTTGTCTATCATCGAAATTAAGAGTATAACTGATCTTTGGGAAAAAAAAAAAACACCCCTGAACAGTAAGATCTTTCTTTTTCTCTTCCTAACGTATCTAATCATTTCAAGTTCAAAGCATTACAGTGGAACTCAAATATAATTCCTGTGTCTGAATCCTGCTCATTAAACACAGATGTTTGATACAATATTGGATTGAACTATACAATAACAACTTTGCAGCTATCAAGAGCAGATGTAAAATCATATTTTAAGTACATGACAGTGCAGTTTTATGGTAGTTCTGCCATAACTCGTATAAAATAGGGACAGGTTTTACATGTGTAAATCTACTTCTACTTCAACAAGAATATATTGGACATGGTAATTTTTTGCTTTTGGTGATATGTAACAGTCATTTTATACTACGTTTAACAACCGAAGTAAAATACAAAATATAAGCAAAAAAAAAATCACATACAACTGATAATGAATAATAGTTTAAACTCTATAATACAAAGTAAAAGATTTCCTAATTTGAACTCCAAAACTATATGGTAACAGTCTCATAGTGCAATATCAAAGATTCATTTTTTTACATTATTGTGCTAAATTAATAATTCACTTATTGCTCCCTGAACCCTCACCCCAGCCAAAAGAGGACTGGATTTAATTGGGTTAAAATTTTCATACTTTTCCTTTAATTACATTAAAAATTCCTCATCCTCTTTCCTCTTCTGCAATTTTGCACTCACATTTGCTACTGGTTTCTAAATAATGATGCACAAAGCAGAAATAATACAGCTCAATTTTTAGAAGTTAAACTGAACTTAAAAAAATATGTTTACCAGCTTATTAGTAAATTGAGCAAACAAGACATGAAAGATGTGGATGATATAAATATGCAAGAACAGTAGCTATGTCACCAGAAGGACACATTTTAAGTATCAACTGTACAAAATCTCTCTCTCACTGTGTGATCACTGGCCTCTGTAATGTTTGATAATATACTGTGTTTTCCATAGAAATTTATAAGTTTTCATCAGTGGTGGGGCATTTTGATTAAGAACGCTTCATTTAAAAAAATATTTTTTTTGGTGGTGCGGAGAAGAGAGTAGATTTCCATGTAAATCAATTGGAAAATTATTGATATTTAGCTTTTATAACTTCCAACACTTTGTGATTGATTGGAAAATGAGTTGGGGAATACACAGACCAGATTTAAATAATAAATGTCAACAATGGTACCAGTGATCAGAATAAAAGATAATAAGCTGCACGGGCTCAGCCTCGCCTTCCCAGGTCTAGCGTGGAGAACGCTGAGCCAGATGAACATCTGGTGTAAATCAGCATCGTTTCATTAAGTCCAAAGAGTTATGATGATTTACACCAGCTGCCAACCACTGTGAGGGTTGATGTCCCAGCTAAAAGGTACCAGTCACTTTCAACTGGCTATTATCAAGCTGCGATGAAGTACCATCACGTGAATCACCTCCTTTGTTACTGGTTAGTGGCTACAATAAAAAGACCTCATGAAATGAGTCAGAAGGTTAATATAAGCAAAAATAGTGGGAATCTTTAGAAATGCTACTCAGGAACTAAAATAGCCTGCATAAGGAGAAAACTAAACTCTATTTTATACAAAACTGAGACGATATATTGGGTTAGTGCACCCGGCCTTTTACCACTAGATCAAACCCTGTTTAAGTCACAGAAGGAAATGACTTTCATGGACAAAGCATAAGTAGACGTGTCATACATCATCAAACTAATACACACTTTGGCACAATACCCTGCTACTTAAAGACTGAAGAGTGAAATAGCAGGGCCATTACAGATCAGGACTATGGAGCAGTGAAGTACTATGCAGCTGGGTAGGGAAGCTTCCATTCTGCCAGTCAGGGCTGTCATACCCTTCTTTAATAAGCAATACATTTATATTATTTTAAGAAAGAAAATTCTGAATTGAGCAAATAGCTTGTTAACTCCACACATATCCCTTGAAAGTAGCACTGTCAGTGTTGGATTCTGACTTTCTCGAGCAATAAAAAAGTTTGCGTAGAATAGAGATAGAATGTACACATTGATCTATTCCACCAGTGAGTGAAGCCAGAGGCGTTCAAGTGCAGGGTCTACTATTGACCATATCAAACTTAAGAACACAAAGCTTACTATTGACCATATCATATTGATCTTATCTACTATCTACTATTGACCATATCAACCTTCAGAACACAAAGTTAGCCTTCTCCTTCTGCCATCTCAGCAGTGATTAAAGTCATGGACTGAAGGTGTTTAAGGCCAGTTGCTTCCCCACTTAGCCTGACTTCTCCTGCTAGCCACCCTCCAGGGTTGGTTCTGGAGTCTGGCCAGCCCTCCTGCCATCAATGATGTGGGATCAGGCACCTGAATCAAAGAGCTTTCTTGGCCAGCTGCTTCCCCATGCGATTGGATTGGCCATCTGCTAAGTGTGTGTGGGAGGTGTTCCTAGATACATGCCACATATGTGAAGATATCTGTCTGATAAATTGCAAATCCCTTGACCCTCTCACCTGCTCTATACCCACTGAATCATCTTCAATAATTCTAGCAGTCCAAACCATGGAGCTGCAAAGGTACACTTGTTTTCAAATCAACCTGTCACTAAAAGTGTCTCCTCCTTTGTCCCCAAATAATTCCATTAGTCTGAACTGAAGAACAGGCAATATTCAATGATAATTCCAATGATGGGTTTAAGGACCAAAATTTCACATTCTTGCACAGCTAAACAAGAGGTTTTAAACACTGGAAAGTGTGATTCCCAGCTTTGTACTGGGACAAACCACACATGAGTCAACCTCTGGAATAATCTGAGCTACTGCATCAAAGTAATCATGTTTTTACACATGCAAAAGTTATTTTAGTTCATTTTAGAGGTTTTAAAAATGCATTGGTTATATTTTTCCCTCCCTCAGAGTTCTGTATAGCTGGATTCCTGGTATGAGTTTTTCAGGCAGAGGAATAAGAAAAAAGCTGTACTTGTGTGTTTTAAAAAGAAAACATTTAAAAAGAAAATCTCAAAAATGTTTAAAAGTAGTTTTTATGTTAAACATACGGCACACATAGAACTTAAGGTAGTGTGGTATATAGGCTTACTCAAACTCAGATAAGATGATTTAATAGCTTACTCATGGTTTCACTGCTTGTGGGGAACAAGAACCACCCCACTCACTACATACATATAATATTTTATCGCTATAACTCTCCACCGCTTTATTTACACGTGTCTGAGAGATATTGCCTATTTGTTTTTGAGTCCCCCAATAATCTAGCTTCTTCAGAAGAAACTGTTAAATCCAGTGATTTTACCAGGACACTAACTTCCTTTAATTATTCTGTTAGTATAATTTAATTCAGATAGAATCATTCATCCTCTCAGCAGGTTGAAAAAGGTGAAAGAATCATTTCTTTCTTTTTTAATTGGAAAGCGGTAAACTCGTAGGGTATGTCTACACTGCAACAAAACACCCGCAGCTAGCCTGTGTCAGCTGACTCAAGCTTATGGGGGTACGACTTCAGGGCTATACATCTGCAGTGTAGACATCCAAGTTTGGGCTGGAGCCCAGGCTCTGGGACCCTGCCTTCTCATGGAGTCCCAGAGCCTGGGCCCAGATGTCTACACTTCAATTTTATAGCCCCACGATGCGAGCCCCAGGACTTTTAGTGCAGTGTACACATACACATTTCTTTGTGCACTAAAACTGTGAGAAGTTAAACAACAATTACATGCGTGATCAAAAATGAAGATAGGAAAGAACCGAGTTATAGAAATTAGCCTTCAGAGTAACAGCCGTGTTAGTCTGTATTCGCAAAAAAAAAAAGGAGTACTTGTGGCACCTTAGAGACTAACCAATTTATTTGAGCATAAGCTTTCGTGAGCTACAGCTCACTTCATCGGATGCATACTGTGGAAACTGCAGAAGACATTATATACACAGAGACCATGATTTCCCCTTGTTTTTTCCTACCCCCTCCCCCCCAGACGTTCTGGTTAAACTTAGATTTATGCTGGAAATGGCCCACCTTGATTATCATACACATTGTAAGGAGAGTGGTCAGTTTGGATGAGCTATTACCAGCAGGAGAGTGAGTTTGTGTGTGTATGGGGGTGGGGGGTGAGAAAACCTGGATTTGTGCTGGAAATGGCCCACCTTGATTATCATGCACATGGTAAAGAGCGTGGTCACTTTGGATGGGCTATTACCAGCAGGAGAGTGAGTTTGTGTGTGTGTGTGTGGGGGGGGGGGGCGGGGGGACGGAGGGTGAGAAAACCTGGATTTGTGCTGGAAATGGCCCAACTTGATTATCATACACATTGTAAGGAG